GAGTCTCTGCTTGGATTGTAGTAGGATAGAACTTGTTCGTGGGTTTGACCCACTCTTATATTTTTCAGGTATCGGACGGTTCTAGTCTTAGGCTTGATCGTGCTGAGTAGAGACTATCATTCACTCTATCGACGACGTAGGATTTCATTCCATGTTTTAGATTTGGTTTTATTTCCAGTTATTTTATGTTCAGTTGGGATTTGTTTTAGGGGTCCACTAGATGGATTCCCAAGTTGTACTCTTGGAGAGTTGGATTTTATAAATCTTGAACTTTGGAGGATTTTATATTTAATATTTCTTTCAGTTTCATTATTTAAATTCTTAAATCTTTTTATATTCTGTGTTCATTTTAAAATATTAATTATTTGATATTCCCTCGAGTTTGGGCTTGGGCCTAATCAACCCGTGTCTCGAATTCGAGGGGTATCACAGTTTCCTTCTCTTGTGCCTTGATGGCGATGACGTCAATCAACTCGTAGAACTCCGCCATCTTTCTCTCTAGCTTGTTGAACTTGGTCTCCATGTAGACCAAGTGTGTGGCAAGCTTTTCCTCCAAGCTCTGCTCCAAGACATGGACATGGTGGTCTCCTCTGCTAGCTATGTCTACTCCAACAAAGCTCCCTTGACAAACCTGCTCTGAGACCAACTATCACGAGCTTAGAGTTTCAGCACCACTCTAGCTATTCCCGTGCAACACCAAGACATTTCTTCTACTCTCGCAAGTACTTGGTCAGCCTAACTCCCATGCCCACCTTAGCCAACGTATTCCTCTCGTGCACTTACTAATGTTGTAGTGGCCCTCTCGTGCACTTACTAATGTTGTAGTGGCCCTCGCTCTCTCTCTTTACTTGGCTTGCACACTCACACACACTAAGGCATTTAAATTGGCAAGGAAAGAACACTTTTATTACTTCAAAGAATGCTTTGTACAAGGCTAACTCTTAAACTCTCTACATGGCTCTTATGACTCACTCCAAGACTTAATGACTACAAAATGAAGTCCTACTCCTATTTATAGGCATCCCCATCCCTAATGGACGGCTAGGATACATTCTAACCGATGGTGGAGATTGATTCTCTAGAATTTTCTTCCACCTTCTTCACATTTCCATACATATCTACAATATCTACAACATTTTAGAACTCTCTATACTACACATTTCTATACATATCTAGAATCTTTCACACAACTTTAGACTACTCTAGAAACTCCCATGCCATGTGGTCGCTATGCAGCGTCCTACTCAATGCTTGCATGTCACCTGCATAGCATAACCTCCATAGGCGGGGCGTGATATAAAGCACCCTTGATAGGTGGAGTTGTTAAATTCACTCCAAGACATCTATAGAGAGGGTGTTTGTAAAGAAATTCATAAGGTGAGTTGTGATGACACATGAAATTATAGAGACAATTTTAGAAAGAGAAAGTATGGTATAAAACCTATACATACAAGTCCCCAATATCACTTACCTTCCTCATTACTAGATTTATGATTTTATTTATCATGTTTGATCCCACCATCAAAGGCTTGGAGGTATTTATTGACGAGGACATATGGGTGATTCTTGAAGGTTAAGTTCTACCGTTAAAGTGTTGAATCAAGATTTGAAGGATCTATTTGTGATTATACAATACCAGACCTGCCAATGCCTCTCATTCGTCTTCTCCACCGTAGAATGAATAGAGAGCAATGATAGCTTGTTAGGTTAGCGTAAAAGAGGAAAAGCAAACAAAAGAGTAAGGGATATAGAGAAAATGGGTTTCATATGGATTCTACCCCGGTAGTCTATTTGAACTATGATCCATTTTTTTTTTTTTTTTGAACATGTGTCAATATCTCATGAAGCCGCGTCAGCCTGCAGGAATAATTTTGTCTTGATGAGGCAGGACCCAAGCATGGTTCAAATTGTAATACTCATGTCATTAGTGTAAATTTCCTACAACTTATGTATGTCTATATGTATTGTATAACTTGTATTTTCATGAAACCCATCTATCCCAAGCATGAGCATATTCTTGAGATTTTATTCATGATTCCACTATTTTTTAAAAATCATTTCCCAACACCTGCTTCTGCTTTTATTATTAATATTATTATTATTTTTCTGTATCTTTATCTTTTCTTTTTCAATAAATAGATTAGGGATGGGGAGTCGAACCCATGAGTTTATTTATAACTAGTATTTTAGATAGGAAAATAATTTTTACACCGAATAGTTGTTGTAAATTGTCAGACCTACTCTTTTAATTGGTCAGACATACTCTTTTAATTGGACAATTATGCAACAAATAAGGAAGTGGAGCCCTCCACTTAATTGTATTTGGTATAAATAGCCAATTAAAAATTATTCGGTTAGGCAATTCACTGCAAGTGTTTGGTGTAAGTATGACTACTCTTTTAAATATTTCTAAATTAAGGTTTAGAATTAAACCCTAAACCATTGGAAGAATGATTAATGAATTATATTAACTTTTGACATTGTGCGTTTAATTTACCTAATAATATTTAACATTATACCTAATAATAAATTATGCCAAATATGTGGTGAGGGTGAGGTAGAATTTTTATTTATTTTTAAGGCAAGAAGTGTTAGAAGTTAGATTAGTAAATGCAAATAATCAAAACCTGCCACCCCAAAATTCACCAAAGGTACTAACTCATTGGGCTATCGAGATATCTGCAATGTTAATTTAAAAGAACTTTTCATTTTTATTTCTGAAACACAACAAACGCACAATTTATTATATCAACTAAATATTTATGTATATATACATTCTATAATATAATATTATTGGTGAAAAAGTAAATTTAGTATCTGGTATTAAATAAAAATGATTTATGATACGTGATTTGGACAATATTAATTTCAAGGTATTAAACCTCCAAAAATGATTTTTTTGCTTACCAGTGAGCAAGAAATTCATCTACACCATGTATGGATGACAATTATGTTTTAAACGCAACCGGTTCTATTTATTGGCCGAGACCACTCTATTAAAAACACAACCATTTCTATTTTGACAGAGACCACTTTTGATTTCAAATAGTGCAAACAGTTCTGTTTTCAAGTGTAACTAATTGTGTTTTGGCCGAGAGTTGCAATTTGCTTTGCATGAAGTGCAACCGGTTCTATTTTCAAGGGCAACTGATTGTACTTTTATAGAGAACAAAAATAAAACTGTTATAACTCTGAAAAATTCAATGTACTCTCTACCAACTCAAAATACATGTGTACATGAAATGTGTTCTCACTTACATACCTATTCTAAATGATGTTCTTATCAAAGTCAATGGTAAGTGACACTTGAGCTTCAACTCAAAAATATCGAGACCCAAGATAAACAAAAATATAACTTGATCATCAAGTTTTAACACCACAATTGTCCAGCATACAATTTTTTTTTTTTAATCTCATCACCTCATAGTTAGCAACTGAGACTGCCTACCGTTCCCTCATTTCCAACCACTAAAAGAGAATCTTAGAGCCGACCTGTGAATTTCCTTCAATTTGTACCAAAGTCCATAGTTTTGAATTGCACACGTTAGAGCAACTCCAATGAGTTGTTAGCTGGGTTGTTATTTTCAAAATATAGCACGTGAGTTTAAAATGGGCTCTCCAATAAGATACCAAATGGGTTGCCAAAATATAACTTTACCAAATGTTGTGCCAAATATAACACAACATATAGCTATTTCTAAATCTACTATTGTTTTCTTCCTTCCTCTTCTCTCTAGCATGGTCTCGCATGGCTGCCAATTTGGTGTTGTGCTTGTATATATACATATGTCAGTTGTGCTTGTATATATATATATATTTGTCAGTGTTTTTATTTATTTATTTTTAATAAAGCAAATAAGCTAAATAAATTACAAACACTCGCAAAAAAAAAAAAAAAAAAAAAAAAAAAAAAAAAAAATGGTTGTTGAAAATTGTAGTTGGGAATGATAGTTAAAAAATAATGGTTGTTATGTCAAAAAATAGCATTTTGGATGAAATACACCATTAAAACAGAATTACTAAAATATAACATTTTGATACTGTAACTCTCCTCAAAGTGCGCCGGGCACACCCAACACCGTTTTTATAATTAAAGTTCATAACGAAGCTCTTTTAGATATTTTTTGTTGGATTTATTCTTTTCATGATATGAATCTGCTGAGAGTTGCTATTTGTCCGCACTTCGAATGAAAGTGGTGAAGTGACACTATTATTTTTAGTGAAAAACCATAAAGTGAGTAATGATATTTAGCCCATTTTGAATCGGGCATAAGTTTTCTTGGGTCAAAACGGTCCGGTCGAAACCTCGAAGAGTGCCCATAGCTTTAGATATAGTTTTTTGCTTTCAATTATGATTGAGCACCAGTCATGAGAATGCCCAAGAAGATAGATGGATCAAACTATAAGAATTTACAGATAGGGGAAGCAAAAAATTATAAGAAAAAAATAGGAGAGAATGATTTTCATAATTCGAAGGGCACAAGGGGTAGGCATTTGGCATACGTAGAAAAGATATGTAAAAATATTGACGTTTGCTAGCTCCTGTAGTCTAGTAGTGTGTCATGTAACTTTTAATATAGAAACTCGAGGGTTTAAATTCTGTTAAGAACAGAAATATTGAGTAAACGTGTTTCTTTCTTAAGTTTAAAAAAAAAAAAAAAAAAAAAGTCATGGAAGATATATGTACATTTATATATATGTACTTTTTTTTTTTCCCACTGACACACACATATATTTGCATTCATAAAATAAATCTTAAAAATTATACTCGTATGAGAAATTTGTTTTTTAGTTAACAAAATATAAACTTGATCAGATTAAAACACTGTGTCACAGGTGTGATTGTACCTATAAATGCTTGATTTCCCAAAATTTTGTTAAGCAAAAAATGCTCATACAATCCACTTCCACGAATTGAGGATTGGAAGCTTTGACCACCCTACATGAGTTAACTAGGTTGGACCCTTTCCTTTCTAATTCCTTCAATCTCTCTCCCTTTTTTTTATCTCCTCCCACTCATTTATAACCATCTTTCTCTCTCTCACTCTGAGCCAACAATCCTAATTTCAAGGTCCTTATTGTCTTGAATTTTATATTTATAGTGCATTTTTTTTTTGGGTTCTTTTTTTGTCCTAAACGTGAATCCATTTTTATTTTTCTTCAGCAAATCTGTCTCTCTCTCTCTCTCTTTCTTTGTTTTCATAGTGACAGATAAAAAAGATTGAAATGGGTCGTGTTAAGCTAGAGATAAAGAAAATAGAAAACAATACAAATCGACAGGTTACGTTTTCAAAACGTAGAAATGGCCTCATTAAAAAAGCTTATGAGCTTTCTATTTTATGTGATATCGACATTGCTCTTATTATGTTCTCTCCCTCCGGCCGTCTTAGTCACTTCTCCGGCAAAAAAAGGTGATATAATAATCTCCGCATTCTCATCCCCTTTTTGTTTACTTTCATATTTCGTCATTGAATTACAAGTTATGAACCCGTGTTTTCTCTCCTAATGAAGAGGTCCGTGCACAATTAACGATGATGATTACCAGGGTTGCAACCAAAAAGTGAGACCCATCACGTGATTGTGTCAATTAACCATTGTTCTAACTTCTATGGAGTTTTACTGTGTTTTTACAATTTCTAAGATAACTTATTTCGTTATTATTGGAAAATCAGGATTGAGGACGTGTTTACTCGTTTCATAAGTCTATCTGACCAAGAAAGAGACAAGTATGCTCTCATTTTATTATTTATATCCATTTCAGAATCAATTCAATTTCTTCTCTCAAGTGGATTTGTTTTAACCATTGCAACATGTATTTGTTTTTGCAGTGTTATAAGTTCCCCAAACAAAGACAGAGAACAGTATGTGCTCAATTACTTATTCTGATCAATTTTTTCTTTTAATTTATTTTTATTATAATATAATTGACTTGATTAATTTATCACGCAGCAGTAATTTATTTATTTAATTTTTCTTAATCTAAATTTTGCAGTGTTTGCAGTGCGCTTCAAAATAGAGATGTAAGATAGACAATGCCAATCTTTACATTTTCCGTTTCTGTGACAATATTGGGTGATTTCATTCCAGTAATGAAGTAATTTTTTTACAATTTTGGGAGTACCACTAAATTATTTTCATTGAGTGATATGAAATGACTTTAATTGATGGTCAGAGTCTTTAAAATTATAATTTTGACTAATTATAAGTTATCAGTTAATTAAATGTGTCAATTTTATTTAATTTTTTGTTTACTTGATAATAAGACCAAACACTTTATTTGATTTTTAATTGCGGGATCATTTGTGATAGTATGTGATTACATATTCCCAGACCATCTACTATAGTAGTGGAATTTTAATTTTGTAATTAAATTTCAATGAGACTAACCATTAGCAATAGTTTTGCTATTTTTATAATTGCTAAAATTTTTACATAAAAAAATTAGTCTCATTGGGCTTAATTCTTAGTTGGTTTGGGCTTCTTTTGTCATCGTTTTGATTGTCTGCCCTAATGGGCTTTTTGTATCTGGCCCTTCTCAGGCCCACACTTGTATAATTATCTTTTAAATTATATTTGTTTGTTTGTTTGTTTATTTATTTATTTTTTTTTATTTATTTATTTTTTTTTAATCCACTTTGAAACAGCTTTCAAACAAATTTTATGTGAAATTCATGCAGTATTTGATCAGGACGCTAGAGCAACTCAGGCGTGAAAATGATCTTGCTCTTCAACTAACCAAGTCTGCTCTCTCTCTCTCTCTCTCTCTCTCTCTCTCTCTCTCTCTATATATATATATATATATATATATTATATCCCATACAATCTTTGTGAATATATTAGGAGAGCTTGGTATAGATTTGTTTAGCACCTTCATGTATTCTCTCTTTAATCAATTGGTGTATAATGATGTCTTTTCCATGCTTAGAACAGTCAAGCGGCCATGAACTCTGAAGTTGAGGTAAATATATCTCATTTCCCCCCCTCCATTTGTTTTACAACTTCACCGGTTTTCGAGTTTATTTAAGTTCAATTTTTTTGCTTCCATTTCAGGAACTTCACCATGAAATTTGTAGGTTACAACAACAACTTCAGATGGCTGAAGAACAAATAAGGTTCTAAAGTTTTCCTCATCTTTAATTTAATATTTAATTTACGGTGTTCTGTGTAATTTTCTGGGATTTAATGGTGGAACAATGAACAGGAATTTTGAGCCTGATCCACTAAAAATGGCATCCATGGAGGAGATTGAATCATCTGAGAAACATCTTGAAAACACCTTGGCTTGTGTCATGGACAGAAAGGTATACAAATCAGACAATGCAATATATGTTTTAATGACATTTTCGTATTTTAATCTTTACGTGGTCATGTTTTGATTGCAGAAATATATGTTGAGCAACCATCTATCTTCTTATGATCCGTCTTGTATGCAGGTAAATAATGGATATAAATTTAAGTTGACGTAATTAGGGTTTGTTTGCTTCAGTTTTTAAAAATTAGGGTAAAGTACATAGGCACCCCTTGAGGTTTGAACAAAGGACAAGAATAGGAAAGTTGGCCTGTTTTTGGACAAACACACCCCTTTGTGAAATTTGTCCTCCAAACAGAGCCTTAAACCATGTGAAAAGTCTACTTTACCCTTCACTATTTTATTAATTTTAATTATAAAATATTAAAAACATAAATGGCCAAATTACCCTTTTCATCTCTCTATATATATACTTATATATATATATATACACCAACAACCAGTCACCACCGCCCCCAATCTCCATAATCACCAACCCCCAACCTCCATAATCACCACCCCCTAAAGAAGACGCCGAATAGGAGCTCTGCCACCACCACCTCCTCGAACTCGTCGGAGCTCAGCCTCGGTTCGAGCGGCCAACTCGGGCTCGGACAAGTCGGGTTTGACCGGGATTGACAGAGACGTTCCCCTCGCCGGCGTCTTTGATTCTTGATAGCGGCAGAGAGTTGATTTTGAGCCTGGTATACAGCGAAGATTTGAGGATGAGATCGGTGCCGCCGCCGCCACCGCCACCGCCACCACCACCCTCTTCCCCTCTCTCTCTATACACGCGCGCGCGTGCACACACACATATATATCACCCATCTGCGCACATCACCATCCCCAGTTCTCATCTGCGCACAGAAAGGGCTCTAATTGGACTCAAATTAGACGGCAGAGGCGATGGCCATTTCAGCCTCCTCGGCCTTGCAAGTGACAATCGCCGGACTGTGTTTAACCTTGTCGTCATCGGAGCTTGGTCCTCGCCGGATTGTTTCTGCTCGTCGGTCTTTTGTTACTCGGTTTCTAAACCTTGTCACACTGTTCAGTCCATGGTCGCATCGTCATCAGAGCTTGGTCCTCGCTGGTAATTTTAGGGTTTCTCCGATGCTTTTGGGTTTCGCCACCACTATTGCAGTCATTGCCGCCACCCCCACTGTCGCAGCTATCACCACAATCTCTCTCCTATCTTCTTCCTCTCTCCTCTTCACCTCATCTCTTCAACTATGGCCGTCCCGCTCTTCCCCCTCTCTACACTTACCATCGCAGTCACAAACCACCTTCCATTTGATCTCCCTTCTCTCTCCTCTGGTGAACTGTATAATATATATACACACAGGCGGGTTCGGGTTGGGTTTCAGGTTTGGGTTTAATCAAAGGGTATTTAAGTCAATTAAAATGTTAATTTTATTTGAAAGGATAATAAGGTCAATTCACCATCTTTAGGGTCTCTTTGTCCATTTTTCAAACTTGAAGGGATGTCATTGTTCAAAAACAGACCAACTTTCCTCTGCTTGTCCTTTTTCCAAACCTCAGGGAGTGTCTTTGTATTTTACCCTAAAAATTAATTCTCAATGAATAAGAGAATTGGAAACTATTTTCAGAAAACTATAAAACAAACCTTTGTTTTACTTTTGTTTTCATCCAATTTTTTTTATTTTTTATTTTCCGTTATATGAAAGCAGAAAACTGAACCAAACAGGCCCTTGTATTTTGCTTTGTGTGTGTATTCTTAAAATTGATCTATATTGTGGCTACAAAATGAGTATAACAGATATGTCGGGATTCGCAGCAGGGAATGCCAAACACTTTCGAGAATGAATTTGTCCACTGGATACCCGATAACGGTCATAACAATGCCCAAATTTTTGATGCATCTACTTCTTCACTTCCACTCAGGTATGTGTGGCAGTAGTAGTACTGCTCACTTCATTACCTTCTAAAGTTCTAATCTTCTCTGAAAAAGAAAAAAAAAAAAAGAGTTCATGAGCTTCTTCATCACTAAGATTTGAATTACTGATGATTAATTTTAAAATTTGTACATATTTCAGGGATATTTCTTCCACAATGTATGACCCATTGTTGCATGGAACCAGCTCAAACATGGACCAACACGGTGGTGCCATGGGAGATTACCATGTCAACAATCCAAGAGATGGAAACCTACAATCATGGCACCATAGTTATGCCTCAACAGGTCTCCACCCTAATCACATGCCGCCAACCCTATTTTCTCCAATGCAGGTTCCTTTCTAACCTAAATCATGAATCTTACACTGACTTACCTAGAATTCTTTTTGACGGAGTTCTATGTGATTGTCAAATAATGTGATTTGTCATTTGCATTCCGGTATACCTGTATTCAAGGGTGCACTGAGGACGGATCAAATCAACCTAATAGGTGGTGGGGCTTGTTGTTGGGTTGATCTCAGCCATCTTCATTAGTAGGCTGGAGAGGATTTTCTCTCGAGTTTCATGCATATAGGCTCTAGTCGCATGAGAGACTGAAGAGCTACCTTTATTAGGGTAAAGCCCATTGGACTATTTGCATAGGCCTTCATTTATGATGAGTTAAGAGTCTCTAAGTCTTTACCAATTTTGAAAACAATATCTTTATTGGAACATAAAAAATAAAAATAAAAATTCAATGTCATTTTACGAAGTAGGGTTCATTTGGTGCATGTTGAACTTCCATGCTGCACATAGTTGTGTGTGTGTGTTTTTCTTTTTTCTTTTTTTGTTAAAAACTGAGCAAAATCTTTTTGATCAATGGCACTAGCACGGAATGGAGGGCTCAGAAATGGCGGCGGTGATGCCACGTGAACAATCGGAGATCACATCTAACAGCTCACATGTGCAGCCTGATAGACAGGCTTCAAATTATGAGAACTGATCAACCAGGCAATGGCACACCAGAAGTTGACATAATTAATCTGAAAAATTGATAGCACAGAGAAAAAAGGTTTGTTGTGAGAAACATATATATGAATGTTGCTGGGCTCTAATGGTGCTGTGACAATAGCTCTGCTAGGATCAAAACCAAGTTTCTGTAATATTTTAGAATAGGTGAAGTAAAAATAAAGTATGCTAGCTAGTGCCATATATAATGTGATCTGCATAGAATTTTGGTTTCACATCATACTTGTAATGCAAAAATTTTGACTTCGTTTTTGAGGGCAAAGAAATGACATGCTTTTCTAATTGAAGATTGAAGATACCATATATGGTAGTTATTTTGTGTTCCAGGATTTATTTAAATTGGAATGGAGATTAGATGAGAAAAATATATTTAATTATAGAAAGTTCTCAAAATTTGTACAATTGAACAGTTTTAATTATTTTTTAAGAGTTTGTATTTAATGAAAAATGGGAAAATTTTGAACAAATTAGGATCTTTTAACTGTTATATTCTTTCTATTGATCTAGAGATTACAAGCTACCTTGAAGATGGAGAAGTTAGAAATTCTTTACAAAACTAGAGATTGGTCTTTATATAATCAAATTTAGGTTGGCATTTAAGGAGGAGAGATCGAACAGTTTGGTACTGCCTTATGTGATTAATTATTGACTCAAATTTTGGGTTTATTTTAAAATATGAGTAGCACTTATAATGAATTATCTAATAAAATAATTTTAAATTGATTATTTATACAAAATACAATTAAGTGAATGACTCAACTTTCTTATTTATTACATAATTGATCAATTAAAAGAATAGGTTTAACAATTCACTCAAATCATTTTTTAAAAAATATTAAAACCAATGTAGTCATTTAAAACTTGTGATAAACCAATGTAGTCATTTAAAACTTGTGATTTGAAAGCCTATTTAATTAAATTGTAATCACGTCACAAAAGGTCTCACTTACAAGTAATGGCTATATGTTTGAAGATTGGCTTCAAACATGAATAACATTTTGGAATTAAGCTAATTAAAAACAAGTTGGTGTTAAATGCACTAGAATACTAAAATACAACATGGAAACCGGGCTATTAAATTGTGCTAACCTATTAAATTTTAAAATGAATATTTGATTAAATTATTTATATAATGACCCAGTCATTTTTATTTTTTTCCTTTTCTCGATATTTTTTTTTTCGTCTTTTTTCTATTTCGTCTTTTCCCGATTTCCGTTTCGTTGCATAACTTTACTATTTGTACTCGGATTTGATTTCGACTTTGCATGCATTCATGATGTTTAATTTCCATGATAGGTATATTTTTACTTTTGTAGAAAAGAATGTTAGATGTTTACTTTTCTTGTAAAGGGTATTGATGTATAGTTTCTTCGGAAACATTATTGACTTTTGGTATTTTAATGTAATTAAGTAAAGTAATTATTTTTCGTCTTGGGGACTATTTTACAATTTAATTTGGAAGATATTTTGGAAAATGACCTTTTTAGTGTGACAACTGTCACACTCCCATTGAGCCACTTGTTGACATTGTGGTGGAACCAGCTTAGTATGATGACATGTGGAGGGTGGAGATTCACCCACTTGTTGACCTATGATAGTTGCACTTGTTGGCTTAGATAGTTGACAAGTGTAGGTTTAGGATTAAACATAGGAAGGAGCCATGGATTAGTGACAAGTGTAGGCTCCAAATTTGGTCTTACACTTAGTGTGTGTGAAGACCATAGTGTAAGAACACATAATGAGTGGAGGAATACTAAATCATGTACTCACCTCATTTCATTTCATCTCTCTCACTCCCTTTACTCTCAAAACCCTAACTTAGCCACCATTGAAGCAAAGCTTAGCTTAGAACTTTAGCTTCATTTTGGCATTTTTCTACTCACCTTAGACCTTTAACCTTAGGAAGTAAAAGTTTCCTCTCACTCTCCTCTACAATGCCCTAGTTTGGTTACATTGATAGTAAATTGATATAGCGTAATGTGTAGTATCATTAACTTGTCACTTTAGACATGTAACCATAGGGGCATGGTTTGTGTGGTCTCACCTTACTTGTGCTTGGTAGATAACTTCATGCATTATGAGTATATAAATGTCATGGATTTGTTGATTTTTGGAAGCTTAGAAGGATATGAGATGTTTGATGGCTAGGGTTTGGCTTTAGTACAGAGGATAAAAATTCTCCTAAGTCATAGTGTGTACTAGGTAGTACCTTGCTGGTCGTAATTGCCAGGAATAACTTGTATAGTCTCGTGGCCATATATCCTAATCTTTCCATTATTTGATTTCGCATTAAATTCCAAATTGTAAATCACGGATTTCTTGAAATTGTGAATTTGTGCTTAAGTTTCTATATGGTTAATATACTTGTGTATGCACACTTGGATGCCATGCATTTATCATTTCAATTATTTGTATAGCTTGAGATGATCCTTTAGAGTACCTTGAAAACATAGACGTTAGGGGGAATGCACCCTTGTGATGATCTATGTTTGGTTAGCATTCTAATTGAAACTCTAGGGCATGTCTATGCATCACATCCTACGAGTAACTTGATTACTCACCTTACTTATTTGGGTTGTTTTTCAGGTAAAGAAGTACTTTTCATGGATGGTTGATACACTTAGCTTATTTTGGATGATGTGTCGTGGGCATACTCTTTTGGTTATCATGCAAAGTGTTTAACACGTGTTTCGTAACATTTTTGGTATCTATGGAATTATGAATTATGTTTTGAACAAATGACACGTAATGTGGCTTCGAGCTATTATAGCATAATTCAATATGATATTTATGCTTGTTGATTTACTCATATGTTCATTCATTTTTAGAAATCAGTTTTTTACTCATTTATAAGGGTAGAATGAATCTTATAGGTTCCATAGTAAATTTTTCATGTTTTGTAGAGTTTCAGCAGGTTTTTGAGGTGTTTCGGCCTACCGAAATGGTATTTCGGTCGACCGATGCCTTTTTGGATTTAATTGCACAGTAAAAATCCAATTCCAGTAGCTAAACTTTTTATTTGGGGCACAACTGGTCGACCGGTTCTCTATTTTGGCCGACTGAAACGACTTCCAGATTTTTGGTGAGTCAGGGTTCATTCCTGCCGACCAAAATGCCCCTTCGGCCAACCAAAATGTCACAGTCACACTTACCTTGTAGCTTGTTTAACAGACTTGTTTCTCCAACTTCAAAATGAGTATATCTCCTTCGTTTTTAATCCAAATGGGGTGATTCTTGAGCCTTAACTTAAGGATTTTAAGTCAGCTTCCCAATGGTACCAATGCCATTCTCAGATCCAAACCACAGTGAAGGTTATTCATGTTTTAGTGAGACGGTGTTAAATTTTACTTGAACCAAAAATGTGGACTTTATGGGATTCTTGGCTAATCTTCTTTACACCTCTTGTAATGTTATCATGTGATTAGTTTAGGTTAAGTAGACCTCATTTGACTTACTGAGAGTTAAATCTCCTTTTGCGATTGTAACTTGTGATACCCCTCGGATCCGAGACACGGGTTGATCAGGCCCAGGCCCAAACCCGAGGGAATATCAAACAACTAAAGTATTTTAAAGCGAACACAGATGACAAAATGAAGTAATAAAGATGGAATAAAACTGAAAGAAACATTTATTATAAAACCCTCCATGCATAACTGAAATAATAAAACTCCAATCCTCCCAAAACTTCAAGGTTACAACTTGGGAATCCACTGGTGGACCCCTAACCAACGGTTCAACTGAAACTGAAAATTTAAAATAGAAAATGCTAGTAACATCGAGAAAATCCTACGTAATCAGATGAATGTGAGACTGTCCTTGACAAGTACGATCAAGCTCTAAGGCTGGAACCGTCCTGTACCTAAAAAGAATAATAAAGGAGTGGGTCAGACCCACGAGCAAGTTCTAATCTAACTGCAATCCATACAATGACCCGATAAGCAGATACACCGTAGACACCTCACAATATCTATCTAGTCCATACGTATAAATATATCCACACTAAGGGAGATTCACTAGTTTATAATAGGGGTCTCAACCTGAATAGAAGGCAACATGCGAATACGCACCCAAAAGTGGGCATGAGTACCTAGACCTAACAGGGTACACCTCAACCTATTACAACCAGCTACGCATCCACTACATATACGCACCCTAACCAACGAGTCTGAGACTCAAGCTCAACTCGTGGTACCATAAACATATATATAAGGTCCGTCCAAATCCAGGGTATGCAATTCAACAATTTATTAAACTGACATACAATAAACCAACTAGTTAGTCACTCAACTTATTCAGTTGATATGACTTAACTACCATCCGTTAATCCAGGAAGTCATCCAACTTGGTTACAGCTGATCTGACTTAGTCACAATTAGGATTCAATATCTTTCAATCCATTCCATTAATCCATTAGGTTAGGTTTATGCGTTTTGAGCTAAACCGTCCCTAGTATGTCACCATCCCATACCGGTACATACAATCCTCCATATCCATGTAAATTACAACATATATAACAGTTCAATAATTTACAGACCCAAAAACCACCATCCAAATAATTGCAGAAAACTATTTAAAGCTTCAGCAATTTAAATCCAAGCATTTAACCATATACTTGCAGGAGACGATTTAATAAATCAATAACTAACATCCAGAGCATGCATAGACCAAATTTAATATGTCAGGGACTCCATCATGCATGTGAATAGGTTAAATAAACCAATAAATTGCTAAAACAATTTCAAAAGATTGTTTAATATTTCGGCAATTTAAATCCAAGCATTAACCATATAGTTGTAGGAAACGATTTAATAATTCAGCAACTAGCCTCCTAAGCATGCATATATCAAAATTAATAATTAAACGACCTTATCATGCACTTGAATGCATTCTAAAACAAGTTTTATAAACACATTATATTCCATCAAATTGCTGAAATTTAATTCAACAATTAATTCATCTTCCATTTGTTAACAA